ACAATCAGACCTGCTTCCTGCTTGGTCTCCAGAGGTCTTGATTAGTGACTCCGCAGCCATACTTTCCTCTACCCTGTTCTGTGGACCTCCTCGCTGGATGAGAGAGAGCCCTCGCAGTCAGCTGTATATTTATTAGCAGATGTGTAGTGGTAACATATAATGGTATTAATGAATAATACAATTGAACATCTTTTCATATGTTTATTACCCATTTTTATTACCAAGTTTGTCTTTTACATGCATTCCACTTTAAAATCCTTTTGTCACAGAATATTTTTTTACATCTATGTGTTTATGTAAGCTTGAATGGCTTGTTACATGAAAATGAACAAATATAATATTTGCCCATTAAAACATATTCAGGCTGCTTTCATTATATATATATATATATATATATATATATATATATATATATATCCCTGAAAGTAAGGGCAACTTTATCTTACTGAAAATTAAAGCTCCAAATTGTTTTAACTTGCCAGCCTCCTCAGACTCAGAACAGAAACAGAAACAGTTCCATAACACTGCCTAGCTAAATCTACATTCTATTACTATTATAATCTATTACTACCTTTTGTCCCACTTTGCCAACACTTCTCTTATAAAAGCTTCCCTTTCCCTTGAGTTTTCTGAAGATGATAATTTGAAATGAAAAGGTTTCCTCTGTCTTCCATCAAAACTAGGCTTGAATAAAAATTATTTTCCTGCCACCTTGCCTCCTGAGGTTTTGGTGGAGTGAGGAGGGGTAAAACCTTGCCTCTTGTCCTCACAGGGAACGGTTCTGTGCACCAATTCTGTGGGCAATTTGGAGGGAGAAAAGGGGAAAACATGTTTTAGAGTTCCAGCACTTCCCATTATTGTTGTTCAAGAACAAGCATATGACATTTTACTCTTTCAAGTGTTTCTACAAATAGGCAGGTCATTTTATAAGTTAAATTGGTGGAATTTTTATAAGCACTGATGGCATGGCCAGGAACTATCACTTTTTACCATCTCCAATTCATTCTACCTGCTTAGTCATGGGGAGTTGTCAAAACACAAATTAAGTCATGTCACCATTATTAAAAGTCTTTAAGAATGAATTTGTAAGTCTCCCATTACAGCAAGAATCAATCTAGTCTTCCTGTCAAGGCTTGCAAAACCCTACCCAGCTGGGCTCCTGCCTGCTCTTCTTCTCATCTCTCTGTCTCAGCATCACCATCTGGCCCTTCCTGCAGGGCCAAACATATAAAGCTCTTCCTCACTGAGGAATTTGCACACAGACCTTTTATGTCTGGAATTCACATCCCTCATTTCAATCCTAATTTTGTGCTCAGTAAAAGTTCATCTTAACTCATTTCCTGATGGAAAGATCACCAACTGATTAGCCTCAACTGGTTCTACACTTTCTTTCTACACTGACTCCTGCACACTGTGCTAATCCTTTACGATGCTTATGAGCAATTCAAATTCTTGCTGTTGGTATAATTCATTTGATGTCTTATTTCTGAACTGAGACATACAAGAACACAAAAATGTAGCCACTTTCCCCTCAGCACCTTCCCAAGGCTTCCCTAGTGCCAGCAGCACATGGCTAGGGTCAATGCAGTTACCTGTTTACTCACTGACCAGATGCAATTGTGATTAAAAGTACTTGTATTGACCTCACTCAGGATCTCATATTGTAAGGGCCCAGCTAACACCAGAGGAAGAGACCACCAAGAGACTGACTTTATGCAATAAGCAGGAGGGGGTTTATTGAGATTCCAGCATGCTGGGGCTCTGTACCCACTCGAGAAGGGAGAGCAGCCCAGAGCCCAGAGCCAGGGTTGAACAATGCTTAAGTACACTTTTTTGGGGGGAGGGCGGGGACTTTACATACATCACAGTCTCCTTTAACAAATCACCATACACTGCAGGAAAGTCAAACAACAATTCTTAGACTTGATTAGTACATACATTGGTGGGAACAGGGCAGGCTGGAGTGATAGGTCATTCCTAAGGAGGGGGTTACATTCAAACTGATTGGTTCGGGCCCTGTATGCCTACGTGACAAGCTGCACAGAGCCCTAGGCTATTAATCAACTAAATGGCCAGTAGGGCGTTGTCTTAACTGCCTCAGGAATTTCAGGTTCTGGATGTAGCAGAGGAACTTAACAATTCCTGGTCCTTCACTTTTTAACTCAGGCCTTGCAGCTTAGAAACTTTACAATGCCCGGTCTTTTACATTTTAACTCAGGCTTTGCAGTTTAGAAGCAGCTTAGAAACTTTACCCTTTCAATATGAGTTTTTTTTCTCTGAATTATGAATGTGTAAAACAAATCAGAACACAAACTCATAAAGGTGAGCTTTAAGTCAGTGTCGAATTTCTGGCTATAATCATCACTATAGTCATCATTTTGTTAGCTTTTCATATAGATTTCTATGATTCAGAAGAAATGATGTCTGTAAGATAATTTTATTACATTATCAACTTGTTTTAAGAATTTTGCTCAGATTTGTTCGTATATGTACTAGAGTTTTAGATTTTATTCTTAGTCCAATTATTTACTCAATATTTGTAATGCTTAATTTGAATTGTCAACTTGATTGGATTAAGAGACCTCAAAGATTAAAAGGCTTCTGGGTGTGTCAATAAGGGTGTGTCTAGGAATGTTTGGCATGTGGGATATCAAACTGAAGTGAAGACCTTCCCTAAGCACAGGCAGCACCATCCTATAGGATGATGGCTTGGATGGAATAAAAGTTGAGCTGGCTGATGTTACTTGCAGAAATAATAAGACATTTCATCATATAATGGTCAAATCTACTTTCATTATTATCACTATCACTATAATTTATAATTTTTTTCAAAATGAATGAGATAACAAGCTTTCTTTATGATCTTCCAAAGATGGAGTAGGTAATGAATGGTATGTGTCCCTTGAACCTCTGATTCTAATCATTTCTCCCCAAAAGGAGCCAATGATATTAGTTTCTCATTAAAACGTCAAAAGACATTTTATTTGTACAATGTATATTTGCATATGATAATTTCACTTTTAATAGTGGTCAACCATATATACTATTTTGGACTTTGTTTTTACGTAACAATTTATCTTCAAGATCCTTTGTATTAGGGTACCTAGAATTCCAAGGCATTTTGTTTCCTGGCTATTCCAGTATTGACACATATGAAAATTTATAGTACCAATTTTATGTAGATGACATTTACATAGTTTCCGAACTTTTCTGATTAAAATCAATGCATTAAAGAACCTCTTATGTATGTAAACTATTGCAAATGTGAGTTTACTAAAACTAGCATTATCTGTAAATGTTTCCAAGCATTTGTTCCATCTAAGGCAGGTCATGCACTGATATCTTCTAGCAAGCACTTTTTATGTTTAAAACTTTGCAGAATTAAAATGAAAAACTTGAGCACCAAAATAGGCCAAAGCATGTACCACAAGCCACATTTTTCCTTACTTCTTTCTAAACAGTGAGTAAAGTCCTTTTCCAAGTTTACCAACAGAACTACCAAGAGAAAATAATGCATTTAGACCATTGCCAAATGATTCCAATACTTGAAAAATCCAGGGAATTTTACTCTCCTTTGTATTATCAATCATATTTCTCAGTTGATTAATTGTTGCATTCATTTCCTCAGATTTCCTCTTGAATCCTTCCTCAAGCAAATCCTTTTGAACCTAAAATAAATAGAATTGAAAGGGGTGTAAATATTTTATAATTTTGAGTTATACTTTGTTTAAAAAAACTTTGTCAACATGTCTTATTTTCTCCCTAAATTTTTTTCTCAATTACTGTAGGTTAATTTAGCAACAAAGACTATCATCTGAGCTAGACCTAGACACTACCAGGAAGTAACATTTCCCACTTTACTAATATTCACCCACCATTACAGATTGGCTGCGTGCTAACCAAGGTGTGAGAACAAATTCATATTCTTGCCAAGAAATGCTATTGGTCTGAATAAACAGATTCTCAGTCCACTGGGATGGCATGGTCACCATCACATAGCAATGATGAGAACACATTATCTGATCCAGAAATCCATTACCATATAATTTCCAAATGGACAATGAGGGATTTCCTCTCATGCCCTGTGCAGCTGTTTACATCTGGATTTAACTGCAGCAAGTTTAGAAGCTGTCACTTTCCTGGGTTTCTACTTCTGTCGGTGCAGATCTGCCTTAAGGTCTTTGAGTAGAAATAGGGCTCCAGACAACATGGGACTTGGTGATGCTAACCAGTTGCTGTTCCCATCTTGACTACAACTGGTTAAAATCTGTCTGCTTAATCAGGCCCTCATGAGATTTTTGTTTGTTTGTTTATTCCTTTTATTCATTTACCAAATATTTGAAAATAAAACCTTAACAGTCAATCATTTTACCACTACACCCCTTATATGCATCTCTAAACAATGTTAATATATGTCTTATATAAACACAAGGGCTTTATCATACTTATCAAAATTATTTCACATTATCTAATGCTTCCAATTTTCTTGATTGTTTCAAATATTCTGGAAGTTGTTTTGTTCAAATCAGGGTCCCAAAAAAGTTTATATATATTTGGTTATTAGGTCTGAACTATCTTTTAATCTAGAAAATTTCACCTCACTACTACTGCCATGACTTCTCCTTCTCTTCCTTCTTATCCTCCTTTTTCTCCTTCTTTCCTTTTTTTAATACCATTGACTTGTTTCAGACTGAGACAATTGCCCTATAGAATGTCCCACACTCTAGATATCACTGTCATAAGATTATTTTAAAATCTCCTTAAACAGCAGCTTACACCATGTATAAAATCTAAAGATTTAAGGGACTATAAATGACTCTCCAGAGTCTAAATATAGAATACAATTTTTTAAAAAAATCTTTTTACAAGAGAATTCAGGGCTTGCAATAAATCACAAGCAACACATGGTGATTATCTTCCTTCTGTGAGCTGAGTGTAATTTGCACTATTCCTTCTGGGGCCCCAGGACCATCAGAACTACTGAGCAGGGCATCACCCACCTTCAGCTGGTGCTCCAACATGGTGTTCTGGTTTTTCAGGAGCTCTTCTCTCTCCTCCTCCAGCTTCTTTTTCAGTTGCTCCACGTTTTCCTTGAAACTCCTCTCTTGAGCCTCCATCTGTTGCTGTTGTTCCTGTAGTTTCTGTCTTGAAAGCTCCTCTTCCCTCTCAGCTGCCTCCTTCTTGGCCCGCTCCTCTGTCACAGGAAAGTTTTAGAGAAGGAAGAAAGAAACAGCAACTATACTATAATTTCCTGAGCTCAGAGACCAAACCAAATCTGAAAGGCAGGGCAAGGCAGGAAATCACAGAATTCACACAAGTCCACACTATCAAGTGCAAGTTTCAGACACTGATAGGAAAGGTCCTGCCCATCAGGTTGAGGTCTGACCTCTACTCCCCCTTGCTCCTCACACATTCAGCAGAGCATGCATTCCACAGAGAAGGGAAAGCTCACAGTTTGGAGAAGGTCTTCCTGTCAGACCTGTCAGAGGGCTTTACAGGAATCCAACCACCACCTGAGAGTGGAGTCGTGTCCCTGTACCTGCAATGGCCTTCTCCTTATCACTGAGGGCTTTATCTGCCTGCAGGATAGACTTCTCTGTTGCTGTCTGTGACTGCAGAAATCTCTGGAAGACCTCGCCTGCCTGTGGAACCAAGAAGAAGCAAAAAACTTAGATTTCATTGGAAGACCACTTCTGTAAAAACAATATATCAGCCAGAGGCAGTGGTGCACACTTATAAATCCCAGCAATTTGGGAGGATGAGGATGGAGGGTTGCAAGTTCAAAGCCATCCTCAGAAACTTAGCAAGGCCCTAAGCAACTTCACAAGACCCTGTCTCAAAAATGTAAAAATAAATAAAAAGGGCTGGGGATGTGACTTAGGATCGTTAGGCACCCCTGGGTTCAATCCCCAGTCCTCAGCAAAAAATAGAATAAAATAAAACAAACAAAAAACACACATGTCCATATCATTTTGGCTTCATGGTTAAAATTTCAGTGATTCCCTTCTAAGTGACCAAGCTCCTCAGTGTGACCTGAGACCCTCCATATCTCCTCTTCCTGCCCCCTCCTCCCCTTCTCCCAATGCTTTTTCCCTCCACTTGCTCTAGGCTCCACCTAGTCTAAATGAGGTGAAATTGTACAAATTATAATCTCTAATGCTTTCACGTGTTTGTTTTCCAATGTGAAATGCTGCCTCTGGTCKATGCTGCTGCTTTCTCCCACCACTGGCTGGGTATAACTTTGGACCAGTTATTAAATCTGTCTGGGCCTCTCAGTTCAGATGTATAAAATGTTCACATGAGGAGAGGTATTACATAGAGTTGTTTGGGAAACTAAATTATTAAAAGTTCTCGGGAAAAAGCATATCACCATGTCTATAGTCAATAGAATATGAAATGTTAATTGTGCCATTATTGTGTTTCCTGCCACCACCTATGTAGCCTGTTGTCCCTGGCTCATAAGTGATATCAATAAGTGATATCACTCAATATGTCCATTTAGTTGACTCTTTCTTACCTTGATAAGCCCTGAGAGCAAAGGTTCTGACTGAACCTTGGGAATCATCAGCACTTGGCACATTTCAAATAATGTGGATGATGAAATTCATAAGTTCTTTCTGTCTTTGCTGAATTTCTGAAATCCATAATACCTTTGGAAATGAATACTTCCACTCTCAGGTAAATATAATAAATAGGAAGCATTCAAAGACTAAGTGGGGTCAGGGAGTAGCTCAGTGGTAGAGCACTTGTCTAGATAGCACAAAGCCCTGGGTTTCCATCTCCAGCTCTGGGGAAGAGGGAGGGAGATAGAGGTATCATGCTTTCTTATCACTCACAAGTAGATTTAAGAGATCCCTTGACTGTTCTCTAAGCTACCCCATGTCCCCATACTCCTCACCTTGACTCCTTTCCTGGGCACTTGCAAATAGTTCTGTTCAACATTTTCTCTTGCTTTCATGTAGAGCTTGTGGCCTCCAGGAACAGAGAAAGTTCCTGCAGAAATGCTTTCCATTAGGGTCTTTGAAAGCCGATTCAGTTCAGCCTGGCAGTATTTTTCAGAAGTCTCCTCATTCTTCAGCAAGAAATAGTTCTTCTTCTCCTCTATTATTTTCTGCAATGGAATTATAGACACATGTTACTGGAAGATAGGAATGAAAAAGATAAAACTCCAAAGAACCTTATAGAAGGGTCAATCTAACTATATTGATGATGAGAAAAGCATTCAAGTGGAATAAGACTTGGGATGAATCAGAAATCACAAAACTTGACTCATTACATCCCTGAAGATCCTATGCAAGTCTACAGGAAAATTTCTTAAACTTCCTGGGCCTCAAAATGCTCATCTGTGTGATGAAGGGATTGTATTCCAGAAGCTCCATGGTGTCTTGCCAGCTGTGGAGTGCTGTGATTCGATCTTCAATGATGCAATGAAACAAGGAATAACATAAGATGAACAGCAACGTGGAAAGAGGGTCTGGTGAAAGAAACTTTGGTTCCTAAGGAAAGGAGAGTGTGCACAGAAGAAGAAACAGTATGGGGTTGACTTGCAGGTGTTCTAGGCTGGCTTGTCACCCATAGAAGGATTTTTCAGTATTCATTAGAAGCATTCAGAATATGAAATGTTAATTGTGCCATTATTGATATTGATACAGACTTGACTTCAGTCATCAGATTGTTATGGAAGATATCTATTCTGGTTTTCCTTCAGTCATCTGAGAGATTTCTGGATAATGTGCCCCAAGTTTGGGGGAGGGGGCAAAGAGGGATATATGGTCTTTGGGAACTGTATTCCTCATGAGAATCCAAAGTGCTTTATCCTTGAATTAGAGAGAGGAACCCTGAGGTCCATAAAGGCACCTGTAGGCTTCATTTTCAAGGGAACCATCATAAAAGGTAATAACTGAGACAATTACCGCCAGTTCCTTTTGGAACTCCTGATTTTCATCCTTGAAGGAGTGCTCCATGAAGACTGTGATGGCTTCCTTCTCACAGGCTGCGTGCACCTCCAGCAGCTCCTGGAGTGTGTCTGTGGGGAACTGCACCCGCTGGGCCATCTGCTCACTGTAGTGGTCGGCTGCCTTCTGCACAGCTGCTGAGTTCTCACGCTGGGCCAGAGTGGTCACCGCATTCTCCAAACAAGGCACTGATCCACTAGCGATGGTGTCTACATAGGTCACCACCAGAGTCCCCAGGCCTGAGGAAGCCAGAAATTTTAGGGGATAAATTAGAATCTATAACTCAATAAGATCCAAGATTCTAAGACAATATTTCTAAAACCTCATACACATAAAAACACACATGCCTACCTCTTTCTACTATCATCACTCTGGTGTTACTATTGACCTCAGTTTTATGGTTCTCTAGGCCACAGTATTTAAAATGTTAACTATCCACCTCCCTGTAATATATTAAGTGTATATGAAAACACAACGTCTCAATTAAAAGTCAAAGGAAAACACATTACATAGGTTGACCAATGAGGAAAGGTATATCAGATTATATTTATTGCCAAAACTTTGAAAGGATTTTTAGGTGTTTACAGGCCAGCATTTATATATGAGCTACTATAAGTTTCCAAAATACACATCATATTCTCCTTACAAACAACACTTAACATATAAGAATTCCCCTAAAAAAAATAGTATCTGTTTTTATACACTATTAGTGATTTTTATTATCAATGGAGGATTTTTCAGATATGTGGAAGCCAAGACACCAGTAACAAAGTGCACAATTTTACAGAAGGTCTGTAAACCCTAAAAGTAACCTGATTTAAAATTGTGCGTATTTATCCAATTATCAAACAAAACTAATGGAAACACATTATATAGTATATTCAACATGTATTAGTCAACACAGAAATATGAAAAGACTCACGATTGCCAGTAACCACAATCCCCTCTCTGAGTGTCTTGATCTTTGCCTGGGTAAAGATGTAAGAACTGAAACTATTTGTTTGTTCCTGGAATTTAGGATCCAGTTGGTCTTCTGAGACGCTCTCAATATGGGCTAGGTGTTCTTTGTTATTTGTTGGCCGGTCAAAGACAAAACACTTCCGTTTTGGAAAGAAATTCCTGATGCATTCCCTGGGCTGATTGAACATTGCAACTCTGGAGCCATTCCCTGAGGGATGGAAAAAACAGAGAATACAGTAGAAATTGTCTTAGGACTGGGAACTAAAGATTTTTTGACAGGGGTTGTTGTATCTTTGCAGTTAATATATACTGTTAAAGAACTGTTTTAACATTAACATTCAATACTTCTTTGCACACCAAACTTGTGCCAATGATGTAACTCTGACAAGAGATTTAGATCCTAGCAGAAAAAAAATATCTAGACTGATATCCCCAGATCTGAACATGGTACCAGTATATAGAGTTGTTATTTATTATATGTTCACTGAATGAATGAAAGGTTAAACATAAATCTCTGGTCCACTCAATCCCTTGCAAAAATTGAGCTGTGGGACCAGAAAGAAGACACACAAATAGTGATAATGGAGCAATATCAGAAATAACATTAGGAATACTGAGAACAATACCATAATTCATTAAGGAAAACTACTTCCATGCTAAAAAGAATTCATTTTTTTAAAAGCCAAATAAACAGAAAGAATGAAATAGTTGTTACCAGGGGTGGGGAGGAAATGGGAAATGTAGGTCAAACATTAAAGTACAGAGCAGCAGAATCTCAAGTTCAAGCTTAATGAGACCTGTCTCAAAATAAAAAAATAAAAAAGGCTGTGGATATAGCTCAGTGGTAGTGGCCCCTGCCTAGAGCAGCAGGATCTCAAGTTTGAGGCCAATTTGGGCAACTTAGCAAGATCCTATCTTAAAATGAAAACTAAAAAGGTTTGGGTATGTAACTCCCTGGAACGGCCCTGAGTTCACTTGCCAGTACTCCCTTTCCACTCTCATACCTTTGTGTTCTAAATAGGCCTGAAGAAGCATGTATCTTTTCTATTTATTCCTTTCCAATATTTATTATGATTATAAGAACACTCATTTTACTTGTATATGGTGGCTTTCTCTTAATTCCAACACATTTACTCATGGTATTATTTTAAAAAATTATATTAATTGGTTTACATATTGCTTATATGTAAATTATTTACATGGGTGCATACCTAAAAAAATCTTGTGAGAATACCAATTCTGATTTATTCTTTTGTGCTTTCATTTTTCTCTCTATGGTTTCTCAAAACATTAATTGAAAAATTGGTAGGCAGAAAAGCAAATAGTCAAATCAAATATACACCTCTGTCTCAAATTTTAAAAATCACATTTTGTTTACTTTTGGTCTTTGGAAATGTTTGCTACAAATAGCTAACATTGTGTGAAAGTTATTTTAAAAAAACAAACTACATTGTTATATTACATCCCAATATTATGGGATATATACAGATAGTAAGGTGATTAGTAAAGTAAAGCTGATAATCCATCTATCATCTCACATAGTTAGTTGATTTGATTTAATAACAATCCCAAATATAGTAGTTTTGTTACCCATAGTCCTCATGTTGGACATTAGATCCCTAAACTTCTGCTTCCTACATATCTGTTACTTTAATGTTTGACCTACATTTCCCATTTCCTCCCCACCCCTGGTAACAACTATTTCATTCTTTCTGTTTATTTGGCTTTTAAAAAAATGAATTCTTTTTAGCACGGAAGTAGTTTTCCTTAATGAATTATGGTATTGTTCTCAGTATTCCTAATGTTATTTCTGATATTGCTCCATTATTACTATTTGTGTGTCTTCTTTCTGGTCCAAGTGCCAAGAATTACAGATGCCACACCTGGATCACAAAGGTATTCATATGAATGAAATAAATACACTAGTATTTTAAAATTATAAGAATTATCTCTGTGAAATACATATTTTTTCATGTATTTGATTATAATTTCATGTCTAACAATTTTGAGGCCATTCGTTCTCCTAAACAGAGGAAAGCAGATGCCAAAGAGGATACAGAAGTGTCTGGTCACTAGAAAGTTTTAGCCTCCATTGTAATCAGGAAACTAAAGTAAAAATTGTTTAAAAGAATTTGGTTTTGAATAATTTCATTGTATTTTAGGCCTTATATTTCTTAAGTAAACATCAGTTCCTGGAGCTCTTCAACCTATACTCCACTCACCATTGCTGCAGACCTCAGTTCAGTCTCAAATACTAATGGAACCCAAGAAATGATGGGCAGTTTTCAGTGATCCCACCCACTCCTGAGCCACACTCTGGTACCTTTAATCAGCTTCAAGGCATTCTCCAAGTACTGGTCTTCTGTGATGTCCTCACCATTAAACTTCAGCTCCAGGGTGAAATCCCTGACAGTCCAGACAAAGTCTGGAAAGAAACTCACAAACTCTGTGCAATCTTCTATTTCATCAGGCTCTGAGGAGGACTTTGCCCTGATTAATTCTGTCAGCTCTGTCACATAACTAGGTCTTGGCTGAGGAAAAAACATCATTTCCGTGTTTCCCTATTAAAAAGTTCTAATAAACGGCCTCTTTTGCCATAGGTGCTCACTGCTTCACCAGAAACTACAAAAGATAATGACTCAATATTCATTCCCCTAAACTCAATGACAAGGTGGTTGAGTTCCTGGAAGGATACTGCAGCTGGTCCAGGGCCTGCTGATTGATGGTGCCCATGCTGTTGTAGACAAAGGTGCTGCTGAGAAGCACGGCCAGGGCAAAGATCCAGGAGTCATTCTTAGGGTCACCCTAGAAATCACATTACAGCAAGGAACTTAGGAGTTATATCTTAAAAATTCATTCAGACCTTTATTCTGTCAGTCTTTCTTTATGGGTTTACTAATAGGAATTCATATGCAATGAAGAAAGACCTGAACAAATAACAGCTTTGACAATTATAAGGTTTCTTAGAATCTTAATTTCTTCATATGATGATTCTCATCTTACATAGCTTTATTTTTCTCAATGAGATGAAATAAGATAATATACATACATAAACTTGTACTCTATTGGGTTCTCAATAGGATATTCATTCAATCATTGATGTTAGCATTTCCTCATTCTCTCTATATTTATTGACCATAGACCATATAAAACATATAAATATCAGAGTAGGGATAGTTGGGCATAGATGGCTACTGATCCCACTGATCTTAGATTTAGAAAAACAAATTTAACAATAACAAGTTACTTTGAGATGACTAATTCAAAGCAATGAAGATATTCACAATAATAAATACAACACAGATAATAATATCTATAAAAATTTGGATCTTAGTAATTTATATAAGTAGTGAAATCCATAGCTGTTATATTAAATTAAGAAGTACATGTCAATCAAGAAAGAACAATCAAGAAAGTTGGAGAAAAACATGTATGAAGCCTTCCTAGAGATCATGAGCTGACCATTAAAGAGTTGGCAGAAGGTTGACAGAACAAATAAAGATGATCCTACAAGTAGAAAGATCCACAGAAACAAAACTAGAGATTGTAGGAGTCTTTGCAGTGAAAATAGTTATTTTGTTTGACTGAGAAGCAAGTAAGAGCAGGAAACAATGCTGGATCATGAGCGCTGACACAGGTTGATGAAGGACATGAAAGGTCAGGCTAATTTGTTTCTATAAATTGTAGTATTTGTCTAAATTAAATCTAGAAATTACTTCTAATATAAAGAGTATATAAAGCTTGTTCCTAGAGAGCAAGGCCTATGATATTCTATATAGCAATTTAAGGGTGGCTCCCCACCCTTAAATTCATTTCCTTATTTCCCCAAAACTCTAATATTAAAAAGTATTCAATGTTTTTAGAACTAGGACTTGTGGCAAATGAAAATCCATTTAGATAAGCACATACCATTGTTTGATAGATGGCTTTCAACTCTCTATGACAATGACATTTTTAAGTAAACAAAAAGAGAAATTCTAAAATCTATACAGGACCACAAAGGATACTGAATAACCAAACCAATCTTGAGCAAGAAGAACAAAGGTTAAGGTATCACACTTCCTGATTTAAAATGTTACAAAGCTACAGTGATCAGAGCAGTATGGTAATGTTGTAAAAGCAGGCATCTAGACCCATGGAACTGAAGAACACCCAGAAATAAATCCATGCTTTAATAGTCAACTCAGCTTGGACAACAGTGCCAAGAACACACAATAGGGACAGAATGGCTTTGTTAACAAGTGATGTCAGAAGAATTGGATATCCATAGCCAAAAGAGTGATTAAAATTGAACTCAAAATAGATTTGAGACTTGCATGTAAGCACTGAAAGTGGATGTACTACTGTGTGTATATCCAAAGGAAATGAAGTTGAGGCATGGAATCAAACCAAGTGTTCATCAATGGATAAATGGATGCAGAAAATGTGGGAAATGCACACACCAGAATACCACACATCCATAAAAGCGAGGAAATCTTGTCATTTGCAACAACATACATGAACCTGCAGGACTTTAAGCGAAAGTGAAATGAAGAGAGGCACAAACAGGCAAATACCACCTAACCGCACTTGTGTGGAACTTAGAGAAGTTGCATCCATACAAGTAGAGAATGGAATGGTTGTTGAAAGGGTGGTTCAAAGGCAGGGAAAGGGTCATAGAGAAACAAAACACAAAATTTCAGTTAGATAGTAGGAAAAAAATGACCATGTGTCCTGAAATTTCAAGAAGAAAACAGGCAAAAGCTTTTTAACATTGGTTTAGCCTTGGTTTTTGTGGAAATGACACCAAAAGTACAGACAACAAAAGCAAAATTAGACAAGTGGGAGAGCATCCAACTAAAAACCTTCTTGCAAGCAAGAAAAACAATCAGCCAGGTAAAAAGGAAACTACAGAATGGAATAAAAATATTAGCAAACCATATCTGATAAGGGGTTAATATTCAAAGTATATAAGAAATTCATAAAACTCAACAGTAAATCAAGCAACCCCCAAAATATGAACAAAAAGTTAATATACAAATTGCCAATGGGTTCATGAAAAGAAATTCAACATCACTAATTATCAGGGAAATGAAAGTCAAAATCACAATGAGCTATCACAACAATTAGGATGGCTATGAACAAAAAGACAAAAGATGACATGTGTTGATGAGGATATAGAAAAAAAAAAAAAAAAACTTGTATGCCGTTGATTGGAATGTAAATTGGTATAGCCGTTATGGAAAACATTCTGGAAATTCCTCAAAAAATAGAAGTACCATATGATCCAGCAATATCACTTCTCGAGAGCCAAAGGAAGTAATATCAGTATCTCAGAGAGATACCTGCCCTTCCATATTTATTACAGCATTATTTCACAACAGCCTAGATATAGATGTTTACCAAGGAATAAATGGGTAAAGAAAGTGTGGAGTATGAGTACTCAAACCTAAAAGAACAAAGGAAATTGTGCCATTTGCAAAACATGAATGAAAATTGAGGGCATTATGCTAAGTGAAGTATGCCAGGTACAAAAAGAAAAATACTACATTATCTCATTCAGGTATGGGATGTAAAGTGGTCCAATAGTCAAACCCATAGCAGCAGAAAATGGGATGATGTGTTCTGGGATCTGGGGAATGGGAGAAACAGGGAGATACTGGTCAAAAAGTACAGAGTTTCAGTTATACAAAATAAATAATTTCTAGAGTTCTAAGGTATAGCATGGTGACTCTAGTTAACACTGTATTGTATACTTGAATTTTGCTAAGAAGTTCTCTTAAGTGTTCTCACTATAAAAGCAAAAAGAAAACTAAAAATTAATACATGTATTAATTTGTTTGTACCGATCATTTCACAAAGTAAATCAAAACATCAACTTGTGCACCTTAAATGCATACAATTTTATTTGTTAATTATATTTCAAAGAAGTTGACAAAAAGTAAGCACAGAATATCTAAATCCTTATGCAAAAAAAGAGAGCATAGAAATTTAGATGCTTTTCTCAAATAAGTCTCAAAATAAAGGACAGATCACAGGCTGGGACTGTAGCTCAGTGGTAGAGTGCTTGCCTAACATGTGTGAGGCACTGGGTCTGATCCTCAGCACTACATAAAAATAAATCAAATAAATGTATTGTGTCAAAAAAAAAAAGATCACTCAGTTTACCTATTGTTAGAAAGCTATAATATCAAAAATCCATCTTAAAATGTGTATTATAAGTCAAAAATATGCTTTGATAGAACCAGCAGTCATAGATTTCTCAAAGACTTCCAGAATGTTTGTAGTTTGAAAGGTAGATCAGGAGGCTTTCCTCATCCACAGGGATGAGGCTGATACCTCTTCACCCTCCTATCAAGCTCCCCTTACACTTAACTATTTGATCAAGTTGGGATGTGCTATGTGCATCAGTTGTCAAGCTATTGGAAGTGCTAATGGATGGCAGCCCTCAGAGGTCAGCACTCAATGAGAAAGGCTTCCAGACCTCCAAGGACTGATCAGCACCAGGGATCAAGACCCAACTTCCTTGTCTCAACACAGGATCCTTCCAAAGGGCCAACCCAGCCACAGATTTCCCCATGGAACTGACAGGGGTCAGGCACTACACTGCAGCATGGGACCTTCCTCTCTCCAACCTGCTTCTTTCCCAGGCCTTGTATTTAACCTGAAGCATAGGTGTGGTCTCCTCAATGGGGCTGCAGGTAATTTTTTGAGGACAGAGCCTTTACTTGGTCAGTAATGCCAATCTACTGAGCCTAGAAGGCTAGAACTTAGCTACTCAATAATTTTTTTATTATATTGAATCAAAGCATTCACCCTACTGAAGCAAAATTAAAGATAGGCAGTTAGTGTAGATAGGTGGTTTGGTCAGATTGAGAAAATGGAGGCCAATTTGGATCCAGGAAGTTAGAGACTGCCCCTGGAGATTGGAATGTTAATGCCTCCAGAGCCCTTTGAGCACCAAGACCACCTGCCTGTACTGCCCCTCCCAAAAGGTTGTTAAGGAAGCTTCCAGTGAGCAGACAGGAAACTGCTAATTAATGCCTCCCAGGCTGCCCATTCCCTTCCTGCCCAGATCACTCCACCTTGGCCGTTCCAACCCACCTGCTTCTCACCTTTTTTACCATTCCACCTAGATCTCTTGGGCAGGAAGGAGAGAGATAAGGGGGAAGAGGTCATGAGAACAAAGAAAATCTAAAATGTATAAAAGGGGCAAGATGCTGTCACTTCTTGGGATACCAGGATACCAGCTATGGCCCCCTTCTCCTAGGAGAAGTCTGTGTTACTATTTTTTAAAATAAAATTGCTTCCCATACTTGCCTCGGCTGCTTCTATAATGTTCAAAAACTTCCACATTTGAGGAAGCAGAACTCCTCAATGATAAAGGGTGGTATTGCTAACCGTCAAGAAATAAAACATTCTATTCACCATACCTCTATCTTATCTGAGCTGGAGGTAAGATTTAGACTACCAGTTTGCCTTATTCACTATAGGTCTGTTTCCAGGTGGTAGATCAAAGCAGTTAAATTGTAAAGGGTCATAAAGCCATAAGGAGAAAATTCAGCATACAAAGGATCTGAGACTCCCTCCCTCACCTTTTCCACATCGCCCAGGCCCTCAGTGTCCAGAAGAACCAGGGTGTGATTTGGCTTGATGGGGTGGGGCACACACCACATCCAGATGCCCTTGGTTTCAGATTGCACTGTGGAGCCCAAAGGAAAGCCTGCAAGGGAAGGGGAGAACAACATATGCTGAGAGCAGAACTCCTAAGCAGCCTAGAACCCACAGAGCCTGGGATCTTGGATTGTGTGTACCCCAACAGCCAAGATGGTGGAATCTCTACTTCCTCAAGAATGCCTTACTTTGCAAGTCATCTATTTTAAGGAGCAGAGGATCAGTCATTAATCTGAGAATGATGCCACTTGAGGGTTCTAGATGAAGACAAAGAGGCATTCATGAACTAGACAAAATGGAGGTCACTAGTAGGAAGCATTTAAAAGAAATGGTGAAGCCCAGAGATCTGCAGATTAAAGATAGATGTAAGAACAAAAAAAAATGAAAAAAGGAAGTTGGAATACTATTTTTTGCATTGAAAAACAAGTGAAAGAAAAAGCAAAACAGAAAAAGAGTAGTTGCAATAGGAAGTGAAGTCCAAGAAGGATTTTTAAGATGACAGATATTCAAAGATTTTTACATGTTGATGAAATATTACGTAGAGGGGAAAAAATATTTTATATAAGACAGAAGAAACATTTATGGAAGTGTTAGAAAAGATGTGGATGTTAGAAAAGATACAACTGTGAGCACCAGTAGGAGAGATTTTCCTTAATCAGAATAAAGAAAAGAATATGGGGAAAGATTACAGTAAAGTAGTAATATGGCCATGAGAATTAGAATGAGAAAGTTCCTTTACTGAGAAAAGTTGGGTCCTCCCTTGAATGAGGATCATCACTAAGAAGCTGAGATTCAGTTGGAGACAAGCAACTGGCCCTGCCCAGGACACCACTCACCGCAGTTCTGTCCTGCCAGACGGTTCATCAAGTAGGATTTTCCTGTACGGTACAGTCCAACAATGGCCACCACTATGACTGGCTGAGAAATCTTCTCAAGAATTCTTAGAGCCTGCTGGTTCACCATCAGCTGCTCATTGTTATTTTCCACCAGACAAATGGGGGCTGACATTTTTGGTCCAGATGCCATAGCAACCTGCTAACCTGGAACAGCCTCCAAGTAGAAATAAGATTACAAAGTCATTGTCTGTCTCAGAGTTATCCAACCACCCATCAACTTGGGACTGATGAGCCATCTGTACTTTGTTTGGGACTACACATAACTGAACAAGAGCAGACTCCACAAGGTTGCCTTCATCATTCTCCCAAATCTCTAATGTTTTTGATGAAACATAAGGTGTTATCTTCTCTGAAATTTTTCTACAAGTAATAATAAAACCCATGTAATGTTACTGAGGGTCTAAAATATGCTAAAAACTGTAATAAACAATTTATGTACCTGCAAGTTAGAGATTATTCAGCCCACTTTGCAAATGAGATAAATAAGCTTCACAAATGCTGAGTGAATATGTCACAGAGAGAGGATTAAAAACCTAGACAATTGAGCAGAATGGCAGACTAGGAAGCTTTAAGCTCTTGTTCCTTCCATGGAGATGTAAAAAAAAAAAAAAAAGAAGCTAAAATAATCTTATAAGAATTCTGAAAACCATTCAAAGAAACTGTGTGCAAAGCCACATTCAAAATAGAAGGAAATTCTATGTCTTTGCTTGCCCTTTCCCTAGCCACTCCCCAGGACATCACAGTCTTATTCTGAAGGTCTGATCCTGAATCCTCCCCACACTTTGAACTGGAGGGAAAGGAGCAGATCTTATTAGCAATAGGCTAACCTGACTGGGGCCTACTTTTCTAGTTTGTTTTTTCCTAACTTGGATTTCAGATAACCATGAATTCTTGGATATGATACCAAAGCACAGGAAATAAATGAGAAACAGATAAACTATACTTCTTTAAAATTGAAAACTGTTATGCACAAAGGATGCTATCAATGGAGCAAAAGAAAACTCACACAAAATGGGTGAAAAATATTTGCAAATCATTTGTCTGATTAAGGATTAATCTCCAGACTCTACGAAGACCTCCTACAGCTCATCAACAAGAACAGAAAACCCAATTTAAAAGTGAGCAAATGACTGAAATAGACATTTCTCCAAAGAAGATACGCAAGTGACCATAAGCACATTGAGACAGGCTCAACTCCACTAATAACTAGTGTAAAAGGAAATTTGGAGATATAATAAAATTTTAGAGTTCATTTGAATAAGATCAGTTTGTGTTTGGGGAAATATCCAGATTGAAGACTATTTGTTTTAGTGTTTGTGTTCTGATAACAAAGCCTCAGAATCAAGTATTTATTAGAAAAATGTAGAAGCATGAGGAATAACTGATTAGTGGTAGTTACAAATTTGCCTTTTATGGGTTAACATGTAACAAGTATTAGTCACATAATCATATGTTAATTGGCTACTTATGAGTAACTGAGGTTAGGTTTTCATTCCATTTTACATAAGCATTTACCCAAATGACCCAAGTTTGTTTTGTTTAGATTTGAAGCTTTCACAAGGATAATATTATTTTTAACATCTAGTTGGCTTTGTTTGCTCAGAAATTTTTCAGGCCAAATCTCCACTTTAATCTTGCTTTAATATTAAGGAAATGCAAATCAAACCACAGTATAGAGCCAGGTGTGGTAGCTCAGGCCTGTAATCCCAGCATAAACAAGAATGAGTTTATAGCATTTACTGGTAAATGGATGGAACTGGAGAATATCACATAAGTCAGTCATATTAACCAGCCCTAGAAGGTCAAAGATTGAATGTTTTCTCTCATATGCAGAAACTAGATGAAAATAAGGGAAAAGAAAAGAAAAAGAGATAGGGGAATACCATGAAAATTGAAGAGAGTTCAGTGAAGTAAAAGAAAGAGATTGAGGGAGAAGGAGGAGGAATAGGAAAAGGGAGGAACAGTGAAATTAATCTGACCATACTTTCCTATGTATATATATGAATATACCACAGTGAATTTTACCTTTATATGTTTAAATAATTTATGCATATAAATTTATGAATATAAATTATTTATATGTAAATAATTTTGTATCTTTATTGTATATTATACAATTTATATATTAAATATTAATATAATTTTTATTATATATATTCTTTCATATATATATATATCCATAAAGCACTGTTTTTTTAAACCCATAAATAAATAGAAGAAAGATCAGTAGGGTAAAGAGAAGAGGGTGGGGAGGAGGAGAGGCAAAGGATAAATATGGGAACTGAATTGGAGCAAAGTTTATTCCATGCTTGTATAATTATGTCAAAAAGAACTCCAGGGCTAGGGTTGTGGCTCAGTGGTAGAGTGCTTGCCTAGCATGCCTGAGGCATTGGATTCAATCCTCAGCATCACATAAAAATAAAATAAAGGTATTGTGTCCACCTACAACCAAAAAATAAATATTTTTTTTAAAAAAGAACTTCAATATTATGTATAACTGAAATGAACTAATTTTTAAAAATAGCTCTAAGATTCACATGAATTCACTTAAACCAGGGGTTTCCTCTAGCAAAGTCTAAGTTGGGTAATTACAGAGTTAATAGTAAAACTATGGGTCCAACCTGAAGGGTGTTCCGACAACTAAGTGAAACAGCAGAAGTTTATATCTTAGAATAGCATACATCCAATGCAGAATTCAGTAAATGTTTCTTGAATTAATGGAAATTAAGTTATAATAACCATACTAAGCAAATCGGTCCATTAGATCATATGTCTCAACAAAATCTGCACACTGTTAATTTTTCACAGGAACAGAACATTAATCAAGTTCAAACATGCTGTTCCTCTTATCTGGTTCTTCAACATGAAGAACATCAATGTTGTGATTCCTGGAATTGTTATAATTCTTCGAATTGGGAGGGCCCCCTCTCTGCAGTCACAGGTCTAGCATGATATGGCTGTTACTGCAGACAACTTTAGAAATATCTCTGGTTAGCTATGAATGAACTTCTGAGCATTTTAAATTCAAATTAATGATTATTCTTTTGATCCTATTGAGGAATGGTTTCAAACTTCAGTGTACATAAGAATCACCCTAAGGGATTATTAAAATGTAGATTTTTAACAAGTGCTACAGGTGACTCTGATGTCCCTGTGAGAAACAAACATCACACTCACACGCACACACACAGCATCTTGCCTATACAGTTACTTTGAACAACAAAGATCAGCACTACAGTAAATAAATTTGTTTCTACATGGGAATAGTTCTCATTCTAAAGATATCTTAAGTGTGACTACCAGAAAGATAAAAAGAGAAGTCTCTGGATTATAGTTGCCTTAAGTTCCTAGGCAGGGAGCCTCTCCTTCTGCATATTCCAGAACTGGGAAGGGAACTGAAAGAGGCCAGCAGATGGCAGATGGGCTCCCATCCAGGGCTCTTTCCACTCCCCTAGCTTCTGCCTTGAGTTGAAGATGCAGGGAATTCAGGGACCAAGGGCTTCTGTGTGTCTGGCTGTTACCTCGAAGCTGTCATTGGTCAAAGGGAGAAGCTGAGCTTCCCCAGAACTAAAGCCAGGGAAAGACCCCTGCAGGCTCAATAATGGGCTACCCTCCCTTCCTGGCCATCCTCCAATTGCCACTTTGAACTGGAAATCAAGTCAAACGTAAGACTAAGTGGCATGTAAAAAGAAGAAGAGGAAGAAGGAGGGGGAGTTGGGAGGAGGAGGAGGGGAAGGAGGAGGAGGAGGGGGCGAGGGGGAGGAGGAGGAGGGGGAGGAGGAACAACATACCTGCCCCACTGAACTACAGCTCCTCAGCTTCCTCAAACTTTCCTTTCCAGTCATCTGCCTTCTTCCTCTTCTGTCTCTCCTTTATATAAGCTGAAAAGTAAAACCAAAACCAAGTTAGCCCTTTCCACGAATAGAATACTGCAGACAAACTGAAATTAAAAGTAACTCACAGCATTGCTAAACCTAACAAAGACATGTCTGAAAAATCAGACCAACACTCAGATACAGACGTTTGGTGTAGAGATAAAAGGACAGAAAGAAAAGCCAAACACTCCTAGTGACATCTCCGCCAACACAATCCTTCCAAGTTTCTTTTTTCTCCCTCCTCTTGGAAGGCTTTCACAGGCTCCCTTTTAGATACATTGCTCCAGTTGGCTTATGTTTCTCTTATGAGAGAGAGAAAATCGGTGTTGCAAATGTAAGCAAAGTTATATAAATCAAAACTACTTCAAGCATTTTGCTCTTAGTGGAAATCCCTGTTTTGCTACTGAAGAGTTTTTAATGTTTTTGAACATAGTATACGTTATCATTTTATAATAAAATAGAGAATGAAGATAGAAATGAGTAATCCTTTATTTTATTATCCAGAGATATTCATTATTGACATTTTTTTTCAGTATTCTCACGCTTCCCCAATACATAGCCCTTCCTAACACAGGGGTTCCCTTTCTACAGACACGTAGCCAATTAGCAGGGTTTCTAAAGCATTTTAGAATTTGTGCATGTTTGTGCAGCAAAGAGACTAATCAGTTACCTCTTCCCATGGTAGGAAGATAAAGGGTGAAGTGTGGGGGAAGAGGGGAGGGACATGCATGAGAAGGCTGGGCTGTGTGAGGGCAGAGGGTATTCTCCTTCCACCTCTCCTTCACCACCCCCACCCTCCTTTTCTATGCAAAGATTTTTCATTAAAAGGACAAATAGTAATTATTTAGACCATAGGGTATGTGTTGCAACTATTCATCTCCAGCATCTATGGGCAATATGTAAATGACAGGGTGTGACTGTGTTCCTATACAACTTTATTTACAGAAGTAGGCAGAGGGCAGATTTGGTACTTGTGCCTAGTTTGCTGACCCTCAGTTTAGGTAAATGAATGCTACAACATGCAGAGAGTCATCACACTTCAAGTATCATTGTCTTACAGGTTAGTAGACTAATTTCACAATCAAATTCTGAGTGTCTACTTTTAGGGTCATTTGAGTCAAGGAGCATGCAAAATTCTTTGTTTTGGTTTGGGTTTTTTGTTTGTTTGTTTGTTTGTTTTTAAGTAGGAAAAAGAGTGTTTCCTCTATCTATCTGATTTTTCATCCATGCAGCTCTTGATTTTCATCTGTGTGAACTCTTGCCTGACTGTCTGAGCCGTGCATTCACAGGTCTGCACAACTAATTGTACAACTCCCAACAACAACATAGCACAGCCCACAGCTCTGAGATAAGCCAAAGATGAACAGGTGCTGAAGGAGTATAGTCAGTTATACTGCAGAAGAGTCTGGTTTGGTTGGAGGGCAACTGTCCACATTTGCAGACTCCTATGAGCAAGGAAGCTTAATATTGGGGTGCATGGCATGGTGACTCCAGGCAGCCTAGTAGGGTGGGCAAAAAGCAAAAATGAAGGTCATAAAGACAGACTTTGTAGGGGTGAATCCGCCTTCATTTTCTAGACATAGCCTATAGACTTGAACCACAAATTAAGGAATGACACAGTGGCCAGACATGTTATCACATGCTACACCCGAGAGAAAAGTTTGCAGGCACTGCCACCCTGTGGTGACTCAAAATCATAACTTATTCAGTGATGTGAATGCTGGATTTTGCTATGAAAAATGATTAGCTGATATCAATCAACATGGAATTTATGATATGTTATTATTAATATAGAACTTTATAATTAAAATATAAATTATAATGAAGTAGAAATTCATGTACGGAAATATATCATTTTCACACAATGATACCATATGCCTTTTCACGTTTTCTAATGTACACATTGGCTACTATGCAGATTCTTTAAAGTTTCAATGAAATGATGGATGAGGTATAAAGTCTTAAGCTCCTATGGGGATAATGTGTTTTTATTTGTGTTCTCTCTTGAAGAAAAAGAAATTTGAATGCATGTTGTTTATTTGGTGTGTAATGACAGAAGACAGAGGAATGGAGAAAGAGGAAAAAGGAGAGTAGACAGAGAAATGCAAAGTGTCTCTGAAGGACAATGTGAAGTATCTATTTATCCAACTTCATACAGTTCCCATTGGTTTAAAAATGCCCCAGAGGTCTTTTATCCCTTTAAACTTATAGCTTGTGCTTGTGCAAATGGGCAGGTTTTCACACACTGGAGAAAAAAAAGCCAGAGAAAAAAAAGTAGAAAGATATATGAGGTGGGACACAGTGGAATACAATAAATGTCTACCATGCTACAATGAGTTTGAGAATAAACACAAGATGTGGAGTGACCAGATATTAAGAATAGAAAATAAACTGAGGACAGAAGAAATATGGTGGCCTAATTTGACTATTCTATTAGTTATCAAATATATATATACACATATATTTTATATATATATATATATATATATATATATATATACATATATTCTCCTATTGGTCCTGCTTCTCTACAGAATCCTAACTTATATAGATTTTAATGCCAGAGGTGGTTCTAGCAAACAGAATTATAAGGATAAATTTCCTTAGTTGGTTTTATGGTTTCTAGAGTTGGCTCTCTAAATTAAGTAGGCCTAAAGTTCCTAAATTCTTTCCTGCTGGCAGCATGGAGGGCCATGACCCATGTGGGAACTGTTTAAAGAGTTTCATTAACTAAATGCATCCAGTGCTCCTAATTCGATACTTGTAAGAGGCAAGGAGTTTAGTGACTCTATACATGATACTTTTGAACATTTCTGGAAAACTGAGGAATGTAACAATTTTGGATCATTGCTCTGGCTTCACTCAGCAAAGTAACAAAGGAAAAGGAATAGTTCCAGACCCACATGACCAGTCTAAAATCTTCTTAGTGTGCTCTGAAGAAGAATGTTCTCTCTTGTAGTCTCTGAGATGTCTCTTGTAGGACAGAGGTTGCTGAAAACCAGATACAAACCCTTCTCCTGAAATTGACAGAATTAAGATGCAAGTTTAACTCTCAGCCTCAAAACATGTCTGTAGTTAGAGTGAGGACACAGCTTGGAAAAGAATGGGATTCTGTAAATTGGGGTGGAAACACACAGGAGGACAATGAAGAGTCTGGAGACACTGAACTCCTATATTCTGATGAGTTTATTTTGCCAGAAGGAGTTGAGTCTCTTAGTGATGGCAGTGTCACCCTTACTCCTACCCTCTGTGGCATTGACCTCTCCACCTCCCCTAAAGGGAATTAATCCTGTTTTGCCTGTAAAAACACCAATGGCCTTCCATGATTCAGTTGTTGAGCATGAAAATACTGATGCTCCTCAGGACCCTCCCTCACCACCCACTTCTGCCTTATCTAAGCCTATAATTAGAACCAAATCTAAGCAGGCCCCTAGAAGTGATGTACACAGTGACCAATGAGGAGGTGCACTACACTCCAAAGGAACTTCTTGAATTTTCTAATTCATACAAAGATCTGGGGAACATGTGTGGGAACGGATTTTAAGAGTGTGGAATAATTGTGGAAGGAACATAAAATTAGACCAGCCTGAATTGATGGATTAAACAGATATTATAAATTTAATGTAGCAGTTTGCAGTGTTACCAAAAGTACTAATAGTTTGTTTGGATGGTTGGCTGAAGTATGGGTCAAAATACAGCCTACTGAGTGAGCTGGAAATGCCTGACACCCCTGTTTACTGTTGATGAAGGGATTCAGAGGCTCAGAGAGAATGGAATGCTGGAATGGATCTGCCCTATAGGACTTTCTCCTCCACAGTGGGAGGGTTCAAAAGGTGTACCTTTCACCAAAACTATAAGAGACAAGTTTGTGAGGGGAGTACCAGCATCCTTGAAGAATTCTGTGTCATTGCTCTTTTCTGTATGCCAGACTTCATGATGGGAGCTGCAGTCAATCAATTGGGACACTTAAATGCAATGGGAATAACTGGATCCCAGAGAGAAAGGAGCCAAGTGGCAGCACTCAATTGCCAAAGACAGGGTGGCTGCACTTACCATAATGGGCAGCAAAGGAGAAGAAATGAATTGAACATTCTGACTCATGTAGATCTGTGCTCTTGGCTAATTAATTATGGTATCTCCAGAAGTCAAATAGATGGGAAACCCATCAAGATCTTACTCAACTTATATAAGCAGAAAAGTTCAAGGGCAAATGTACAAAAGCCTGTCTTAGATCATAAAAACAGAGGACCATGGCCTCTCAACCAATTGAGCTAGTTTTCAGATCCAGAACTCCTTGAATGAAGGGGAAGTAGTTCCCCTTGAGGAAGGACCCTGGTACCTACCAAAAACATTTACTGTTAATCTTTCTCCCATCCTTCCCCAAAGGGACCTAAGGCCTTTTACCATGGTAACTATTGTTTATGGAAAAGGCAATGATCAAATCTTTGAGGACTGCTAGACATAGGCTATGAATTAACATTGGCAATCCAAAATGTCATTGTGGCCTTCCAGTAAAATGGGAACTTATGGGAGTCAGGTGATCAATAGAGTTTTGGTCAAGCTCCAACTCACAATAGATCCAGTGAGTCTCCAAACTTGTCCTGTGTTTATTTCTCCAATCCCCTAATTCATAATTGTGATAGATATTCTTAGCACTTGGCAAAACTCAGATAATTGTAATGAATGACATCAAGGTCAAATTTCAAGGGAAAATGCTAACCCAAAAAGTTAAATGGAGCATTAAAGTTGCTTTTTTTCTGATAGCATTTGCTAATTAATGAAATGTCTCATCAGTTTTGGGGGCATTATGAAGTAAGGGGCCAGAGGTCAAAGGCCAGGGCTAGATAGTAAAGGACAAAATCAATAATTCTTAATATCTAGTGCACATACATATCAACTGGACTGTGCTTTTCAAATACTCATTCTTGGGGAGACCCAAGATGGTGGAATAGAGGAGGTCACATTCTTAGCTACTCCATGGCAT